ACACTTGGACGTTGGAGTTGCGGCTGTAGGCACAGTGGATGGCACTTGATGGCGCCGACGAAGAGAACCCTTGTTACAACTTGGCATCCTTTCCGATATGTATATCACTAAGGTCAATCATGTGCAGCCAATTTAAAAGGCTAAATTCACAATTGAGATGTAATGGCCCAAAAAAAAAAGTGAGCGTGGGGAGGCGTAAGCGCCTTAATGCTTAAGTGGATAAAATAAGAAGGGTTAAGTCTGGTTCCGTGGGTGTTTATTTATTGTGCATGGAACTATTATTTGATTTTAATATTTATCAAATAAACATTAAAAAAAAACAGAAACACTTGGATTTATATGTATGAAAAAATAGGGAAAGTTTCGAATTCTGATTTCTCCCAACATCTCGACATTTATTAAAATGAAATGTTTACATGAAATATTATAAATTAATTAAGGTGAAAGATAACTTTACGAGGTATTACTTGAAATGTCAAATCAAACAACAAAAATAATAAATATTTAAAATAGCATTTTATCTAAGAAACACTTAATCTATAAGTAGAGATAGAGATAGTTGCAACTATAGGCGGTAAGTCCGTAGCCAAGGCACAACGCCCCCGGCGTGATATGGATCTTGTGGGTATAATAATTCAGTTTAGCTTTGGCCTTTGGGGCACAACCATTTTACGTTAACCAATTTCGAAGTTTTGGCCCAAGAAGAACATGTGGATATTTTTGTCATCACCCTCCAATAACAGAATAGAATCCAAACCCCGAACCCATCTCACCATCTGGTAGCAATTGATCTATATCTACTTGATTCTGTTGCGGGTCATAAAGCTGATATTAGAGGTTTTTTTTTTTGGGTAATCGAACGAAACAGAAAAAATGAAAAAGGAAAATTGTTGGTGAAGTGACACGTCCAAGTTTGACCGAGTCAGGTATGGCTTGAGAGGGGGAGAGAGAGAGAGAGAGAGAGAGAGAGAGAGAGAGAGAGCGAGAGAGGGGCATCCTTGTATTGATCTTGGGTTGTTAATCTCTTGTGGAGCGTGTGTAATTCGTAAACCGCTCAATCAGAAACGGTCCGACATTGAGCGGAGGAGAGAAAGGGGGGAAGCAAATCTCTTGTGGGATAATGGTGGTATAAATCTGCACCTATGTCGGTGAAAGTTCTTCGGGTAGATAGATATTTCTATAAACTTTGCAGAGTTAATTAGAATATCTCTCTTTCTCCTTCCCTATCTAGGATTCTGGAGAGGCCGCCCCTCCAATCTCCGGAGCTCCCTCCATTCCTCCTTCTGATCTGATCAGGTACTTACTACACTGGAATACTTTTTTTAATTTAATTTTATCAATCAAATGGTACAATTAATCGTGGTACCTTTAAATAATTATTTGTAGGAATGAAACTGTGAGCAGATCAGCAGCAGCTCCTCCCCGGAAACCGAGAGCTGCAAATTTGGAACCCCGGGAAATCACTATATATTATCGTGATCAACAGCAACCTTCGACCTCAAATTAATGGCTGCCTATGAGGGTGCAGCTGCCAAGGTGACTGGAATCCGACAAATAGTCCGGCTGAAGGGGATCCTTCAAAAGTGGCACTCCAACACCTCAAAATCGAGAAGGAGCTCCTCCTCCAGCACTAGCAGCAAAGGTCATGGAGACATCTCCCCAGTCATCACTAACAGATTGAGGAACACCTACACTAGTACTGCCTGTGACTCAGACGAGGAAACTATCAACAGCCATGATGAATTCCCGGTTGATGTTCCCAGAGGGTTTCTTGCAGTTTATGTTGGACCAGAACTTCGGAGGTTCATCATCCCCACGAGCTATCTCAGCCTTCCAGTCTTCAAGGTTTTGCTGGAGAARGTGGAGGAGGAGTTCGGTTTTGATAACAAGGGCGGGCTCACCATTCCTTGCGAGATTGAGACCTTTAAGTACCTGCTCACATGCATGGAAACCCATAATAAGGATCAACCACCTGCTGAATGCTGATGACAACGCTGCCGGCCGGCCGGTACCTACGATTCTTCACTTCTTCTACCTACTATATCTGATATTCTCAATGCATGCATGGAGATGGAGTTCTTATTCATGGTCGATCATAATAAGGATTAACCTGTGCTTTGGCTTTTTCTTTTTTTCCTTTTTTGCAGAAGTGCATGGACGTAACGCACGATTTTGTATAGAGATCCAAATTTTAGGATTTTCGTTGTTGATGCAAGTACGACGACACTGGTGAAAAGATTCAATCTGCTTCAACTAATTAAATGAAGATAGGGAAGTATATATAGCTAGGATTTTGGGGCAGAACCAATTGTTGTTGGAGGCAAGAAGAAGGAATACAAGGCACTTTAGTTACGCGCGTACTGGAGATTCTGGAGATTGCGTTCATTGAAATTTTCATTTTTATTTACTATATTTATTATTTATTTGACCCCCACCCATCTCCGTACATTTGGCCTTGAACAGCGATTTTGATTCGATCGCATCCAATCCCAATGTTTCAACAATATATGTTCAATATTATTTTGTAGATGGTTCTGAGTTCTCACTGAAAAAACATGTGCAATCTTTATACCCATTATCCATTTAACACCTTTTAATTAATTACTTTTCATTTTTAATATTCAGATGCCGAGATGAATGATGGTTTCATCCATGGTTTTCAAAACCAGACCGGCCCGGACGGTTGGGCCGGAAAAACGGGGAACTGGCCAACCGGTCAGGTGATCAGTTCTGTTTTTTTCCAAAAATCATTAATTTGTCCAAAAATGTTGATTTAGTCAGTAAACTGTTGACCCAGGCGGTTGAACCGTTCAGTGGTTTTAGCCGTTTTTTATTTTTTTGTCATAATAGGCCATCCATTCGGTTCAAATGGTCGGACCATTCGACCTGGGAACTGGACCCCTGACTGATTCATTGTACGGTTCCGTTTTAAATAAAAACCGACCAGAATCAAAACTGCTTTGACCCCCAGTTTTTAGGTTAATGGCTCAACTGTCTAGATCAAAAGCATGGCCCATTCCAACTTTAAAAATAAAAACAAAAATAGTTTAAAATGTTGTTCAAATTGAATAGGTCAACGGTTCAATTGCCTAGGTCAGTGATTTGTTGACTAAGTCAACAGATTTTACCAAGGGTCGAGTTAAGGGTGAAATAGTCTGACTGCCCGGATCAACAACAGTTCAAAAACACTATTTTCATTTTTGGATTAAGTACATTGTARTTCAATGCAGAACTTTGAATTACAGCCCCCATAGTCCACTAGTAGCCCCCTTATAAATCGCATCCTACCCGTGGATTTGGCATCAATCCACATTCTGACCATTCTCCCTTCATTTTTTTTTTTTTGTGGTTGCGCATTAAATATTTGTATTTGCATATTAAAGGGGGAGAGAGAGACAACACTGTTGACCTATTTTGTTTTTGCCTTTCTGGAAACATAATATACAAAGCTATTGGTTCACATTCCTCTATTCTGCCATGTCATATTGATGATTGGGCTGGGCTTTACAAATTTTACAAACGGCGTTGGGCTAATTTGTCCCGACTCTCCTGACTTCCACTTCTCCTCCCCCTTCTTCCCTTCGGGAGCATGACGCTTGTGACGGGTATTCTTCACTGTAAACTTTAATCACTAATTAAATCAAGTTAAAACAGCATAATATATAATAGAATACAAAAAAAAAAAACAAAAAAAAACAAAAACAAAAACTCTGCACCAAAGGGAAGAGCGGGATTTACATTTCTTATTCCTGAGATCTAATAAGAATCCAGAAAGGTGCAATGTCCAATATCAAACCCAACAAGCTCTTCACTGTTTGTGATGCAAATGCAAGTGTTTTATTCCGAATTTCGAGTTAATTAATTCATGATTAAAATTTGAACTTTTAAGGTAACAAAGGCACAAACTGAATATGGGTATGGTTCTCTCTGACGCCACAATACTTGGGAATGTTAATACATTCCCAAGCCCAAAGTTGAGCTATGTTAATACAAATAAATATGTATTATCATATATGTAAGAGTAGTTAGTGTGAGCCTTGGACCCTTGAGCCAAGCCCAAAGTGAACGTTGGGCCTATATTATGTCCAAGTCCATCCTAGTTACCAGCAGACAAGGTTGAAATGCTCATGTCCAAAGCTGAGCAAGACAGGTCCGGTCCTTGGGCCATAGAAAACCAATGTAGAGTAGAGTAGAGAGCCCTAATAACATCAATTAAAGATAAATTCCATGAGAGTATGAGACTGTGTCTAACAGCGGAGACACAGTGCATGCAGGTGCAACAGAAGAAGGATGAAACTTGAGTTTGTTCAATGTCAATTGTCAGTGTCACCATTTTCTTTATCCTCCATCACCCAACACAGAAAAGATAGACATGTATAGTGCAAATTGGGTTAACTACCTTTCCTCTTATTTATTGATGAACTGCACTGTGTGTACGCAGAGAACAACCAAAATGTCAAATGACGATCTGATTGAAATTAAACCATACCTTTACTTGGCAGTTGGGATCAGTGGACCCCCTACTAGCTTCCTTGGACAGTTGGACTAGTTGCTGCTGCTTCTGCAGCGCTCGTAGCCATGAATCTGTAAGTTTTAAGCTTTATAGACAGACCTTTCAGCACCTCTGCTAGGTTCTTTCCGCCCTTTACAAAGACTCAGCTCTCCTTTAAACGTTTTGGGTTGATTAATACTAGTTGCTAAGAGATATGTATCTTTGTCGCATCACATACTTGAGCCAGAACAATTAGACTTCACCTCCCTTAGAGCAAGAAACCTAAGTTTGACGTTTTCACAAACAGTTGTATGTCAATGTCATTTTGTATTGATCAATTCAAAACATTTTAAAGGAACAGTAACGGCACCAAACACAACCTAAAAGCATTTAGCCCTGATTTCATATTGTACAACTGTGAAACGAGCTAAATGCAGGGTTTCATCAGAAAATCTGCCACAGAGTGGCACCATCTCGCAGTATAGGACCACTACGAAGTGTCAACCCCCAAAGCTCATCAGAAACGGCTACCTTTTCTTTTTCTTTTTTTTTTTTGTTTTTTTCCTTTTAGGCTTTCAATGAATGGCTATGATCATGTAGATGTAGCAGGTATCAAAATAACGATGTTCATATTATATATTAGTGATAGATATCTATAACGCCAAGATGGTCCAGTAGCTAGCTAGCGATGCATAAATGGTCGACAATAGTATGGTATAGATGTAATGAACGGTTTGGGTTAGGGCACATCATCTTTAATTTCCATTTGCCTGAATCAGGATAAAACATACATACATACAGAGATAAGACACTCATCAAGTGACTGGTCAAAATAGAAGTAGTCGATGCTTGAAGTGGATGAGACAGATAAGATAACCTTGTCTTGTGTATCTATTTTTACTTGCTTGGCAGCTGGCAAGACCCACGCCACGCATCCAAGTGAATATTTATATATTTTCCCCACCCGCCACAACCACCACCACCACCAATTTTATATATATAATTGAATTTGTATTTGACAGATGAATCATATCTGCTCCCTTGTGAAAAAGAAATTTCATTAAAAGTTAAAACCAAAGAAAACAATAACCACACACAATAGAGAAGAAAGACAAACTACCCTAAAAAGTAAAAACAAGAACAAATGAAAAAAGTAGAAAAAAAAAAAACATATACAAGGCTAAAGATTAAAATCAGTACAGTTTTTTCATATGATCCACACCATAGAAGCAATAAGTATAAAATGTTTGATGATCATAGGGTCTCATGCTATCAATTAATGCTTCCACCACTCACAAAAAAGGAGGATTGCAATCAGCCTCACCAACTTTTAAACCAAAGGAGTTGCATGTTGCATGGCTACATCCTAACAGAGGGAGAATGATACAGAAAGTATTTGGCTCGAGGCCAAAAATGTAAAATAGGACAACAATCAATCAATTGAACCCATACCCCCTTGCCTCTAGGCTTTAGCAAGCTAGTACCACTCCGCTCTGTCCCTAGTAGACCTGTTCATGGGCTGGGTGGCCCGATGGCCGACTCCCATACAGGTTTGAACAGGTTTTTTGGCCCATGGGCTTAACCTTGGGCCAAAAAGCCCGGCCCGCATAAAATTCGAATTGGACTTGGGCTTTGCCAAAATAACCCAGCCTGAGCCCGGCCTGGCCTGACCTATAGTTAAACCTAAGTAAACCCGGCCCGACCTATAGTTAAACCTAAGTAAAAACCCTATGTGATGCCCATTTGAATAAATTTTTTGATTTGAGAAGGTTGTTGATTCACTTGTAGGTCCATTGTTCATTTAAATAGGGGAAAAAAACATCTGAGTTAAAATAGATAATATCTATTTAAATAGGGAAAATTTTGATTTTCTTTTATTAGGTCGGGCTTCGGGCTTCGGGCTTTTTATCAGGGCCAGGCTCGGGCCTATTATTTTTCTGTTATTGAACACTAAAAACCTGGCCCGACCCGGCCCATGAACAGGTCTAGTCCCTAGTAAGCATAGCAGTGGTTCGTTTGGGAGGGAGGGAGTTCAGACTTCTGATGGAATGCATTAATGCATCCCTCTTTGCTCCCATTTTAAATTAAATTGTTTTGTAGGTTTTAAAATGACCCTGTTTCTTATATTAGATTTTTTGTCTTTTTTCCTTACATTAAGCAATCAATAGCCAATAGCTATCTCCATCGCACGTGAAAATGCCAAATTTGTTCCCTTAATTCTGATATTGGTGTATATGTATAATATTAATAGACAAAGATCATTTTGCAGGCAACATGATGGCTAGTGTGGAGCCAGGAAGCCCACTCTCTCACATGCGCTGGTCGCAAATGACTAGCGGAATTGAAGCTTAGACACAACCTAAATGCCTTAGGTGTCAGACCCTGTTGCCATAAAGGCGTAAAAAGTGATCGGCTTTGTATGTAACGCTCTGCAACCCGACAAATGCCCAATTTGTCGGCTTCGTTTTGTTGTGAATTGGACCTCATAGATACGAAGATGGGTCATGGGTGTGTGTATTGGATGGACTGTTGAGCAGGGCAGGGAAGGGCAGCAGAGAGCCTTTTTGAATGGATTATATATATGTTTCCAGCCTTTTTGAATGAATTGTGTTGGTTTCATTATTCTCTCAATCTCATAACTCATAATAAGCCCGTTATAATTAAGAAACCCAATTCATACTTGGCCGTTCATTATCCATCCACGCACAGTCCTTTTGTCGGGAAGGATTAAGAWGATGGAGCGCAGGACTTTTCATCTGACGGTGGAAATGACTCAGCTGCCAGACTTTATCAGGCCAAACCAAAAAAAAATGAACTCTTAACGATCATGGATTGGGTAGCTGTCAGAAAGAGATCATGCCATGCCACTGGTCAACCATATGGTCCAGTCCTGAATCCTGATTTTATAAGAAAGAAAGAAAGGAAGGACGATTCCTCTCACTCCCAAGTATGGTCTCCCACATGGGTGATGGGTGATGGGTGATGGGAATGGGCCGTTCAAACTTAAAAAGGCCAAGGCACGGCTGGGCAAGCTGGTTTTGCGCAGTTCAAGGCCTCCCAGCTGCCAGCTCCACACTACAGTCTACAGTATCATCGAACATCTAGACTGATGGTGGTTGGTTGCCACAGACGCGCATGGATCCGGACGTCGAAACGTGGATTGAATTCTGACATGAGATCGATCAATCGATCAATGCACAGATAGTGTCATCATGTTGAAACTTGAAACTGGAATCCCCACCCCAGCTTGGTTTTCGTTTGGATTTTGGATTTTGGTTACGTTTTTGAAAACGCCTTATGTGGTAGTAGTCGTCAGTAGATAACCATACAAACTGTGACCCACAAATCCACACAATACAATAAATAACTAGAGCCCAGCTACTACTTTCTTTATTGTACACTGTTAATTGTCATTGATCAAGAAATTGAAAACAAATAATCAAGACACGGTGGTTGTTTTGGGGTGGGAACTGGGAAAGAATGTATATATATATATATATATAAACAAGGGCATCTTTAACGAAAACTGGGAAAGAGTAAAGAAACTTTATATAAAAACAAAACAAAATAGGATAATACAATAAACGGTCAAAGATAGGTGATAGCTGTATGCTTTGCAAAGCCTTGAGGGCTTAATTTTGCTATAGTATAATAGACTACAAGGGCATCTTTAACTACCCTATCATTAGATGTTCAAACCACACACAATTTTATATTTTAATTATTTTCCACAGAGAACTTTAAACTGTTATTTAGTAGATAATAAAAAATAATAATAATTATATTTAAGATGTTGCCCAACTGGCATGGCATATCTGACATCCCGTCGTCCCTCTTTTGATAGACTAGTTTGAGTTGGTTAAAAAATGTTAAGATGTTGTTTATTCGCGCAGAATCAATTGATTGATTACAGAKAGAAAGAGATTTGGATGTATAATATTCCATTAACAAAGGTGAAGCACTCAAGCCTGCCTGGTTTGGAGTTATTGGAGGGGGAAAGAAATTAAAGCCGCAGTCAATAGCAATGGCTTATGAGGTGCTTAATTATAAGGGTTTGTCCTTTGGGAGTTATTGTGACTAGTGATAGACAGAGACACTCCGGCATCTCTCCGGAGATGCTGTTAGCGTTGGACTAGACATGACAGGACAGGACCGGAACAAATCAAACTAGTAGCAATGTCTCGCTCGCTCGCTCCTCTTATACTACTACTACTACTTTTCATTTCATCATTTGATTTATAAACGGTTGGTTTAATAGTGTCATACATTGAGATCAATTTTTGTTTGGTTTGGCTAGTGGTAGTGGCTACCACCTAACACCTACCAGTCCAAAAGCAATGAAATGGCCAATAGGGAGATTATTATTATTCTTGTGGGTATGTGTCTAATGTGACGCTCATTAGTTGTAGTTTAAGCCAAACTTCTTTTGCTGTTAAAAATAGGCATCACATCATCATCACCATCCGTGTCTGTAACTGTGCTTAATTCGTCTCTTCTGTAAGCGTCTCGTCATAGTCATCACACTGGTACCATATATATATATATATATATATATATATATATAAAAAGAGAGCTAAGATTGTCTGTCATTGAACATGTAATAAGAAACAATGAAACATCACATCACATCTTCTCAACCTGTTGGCATAACAACATGAATAATAACAATCCCCGATCAGATTTAGCTGATGAGAAATGAATTGGGTTAATCCGTCTTCATCCTTTCAGACTACACAATATCTACTTCTCTAATTAATATCCTACCACTACACTAGTGCATCATTACCTCCGATTAATGAACATAACAGAATTTACAACTTTTTACTGTCCCCGGGACTGGGAGGGTGGAACTGCGGAGAAATTCGATCGAATATATGAGAGATGCCTCGGGAGGGGGGGTTATTCATAGGGAATTAGGGATAGGGTGGACTCGTCGGCTGGACTCTGATTCTGCCACATCAACAAGCATAGAATTCGACCAGCTCCTCCAACGATTCCGGCTGTGGGTCAGCGTTCTGGAGCATCCAAAGCAGGTGCTCGAACAATACGACCTCGCAGCCCACCCTGATGGAGTCCGACTCGGCTGATGATCTGTCCACGAGCTCCTGGAAGAGTGGATGATCAATGAGGTCGGAGCTGACAAGGTACCGCCGCCGAGACTTTCCTACGTAGACGGGTCGAAGCCCTCCTTCAGGGGTGATTTTCTCGGGTGAGAGAACGGAGCTGTCGGAGGGATTAGCGGCGACGATGGAGGTGACATTGGCGCGACTTAGCCTGCTATTGCTGCTGCTCATGGAGTGCCATCTCTTTATCACTGATTTCAGCTTCGTCAGTCTACCACCTTTGGACATTTTTTTAAGTTGTATTATCGACGGAAATGGAAAAACCGAAAAAGAAACCAGAGAGAGAGAGAGAGAGAGAGAGAGAGAGGAATGGTGGGGGATGAGAGCTGTCTGAGAAAGAGCAAGGAAGCTTCATATATAAAGGAGTTGGGGGGCGTCATCGTCGCGGAGGATTAGATTAGCACGTGTGGACCCATAAGATAAAAAACAGCGGGAGGGAAATGGGAACCAAATTACCGTTCATTAAAAACCAGCTATGATCCTTCTCCTTCCCCCCTGGTTTTGTACAGTTGTACTTAATTACAAAGTAAGCAGGCTTATGGCTTATTTTAATACAGAAATTTTCATATTTGGCAACATGGGTACGCCTGAATAAGCACATTTAAAGTGATGCTTGACACCTGGAAAATAGTAATGTCACCGCAGATCAGCATAAGTGATGACAGTTGGCACTGCAAACCAGAAAGTAATGAAAAGAAAAAAAGAGGGATCATAGAAATTGCCATCAATTAATTACATAGATTTACATTATTTTTTAATATTTCTCATGTATTGCATCCGGGTGCAGCAAGAAAAATTTAAAAGAAAAAAAAAAAAAAAAAAAAAAGGAAAAGTTCAACTTTAGTACCCTGAAATTTGAGGGTAACATTAAGTTAGTATCCGAACTTTTAAATTTTTCACTACAGTACCTAAATTATCCTCCTCCAATAGAAGACACTCTTCATTGTCTTCTATCTTGATAAATAACTGATTATTTTCAAAGAAAAAGAGAAAAAAAAAACATGAAATATGATAGAGGGAAATAATAACTGAAAGCAAAGAAATAAGTAAACAAGAATGTGTTTCAGATGTAAAGGTAAAAGACAATGACTTCCATTAGTATAGAATTTCAAACACCTCAACCGATTCATTCTCAAGGTAGAAGACAATGAACAATGTCTTCTTTTGAAGGGTACTTTTGACATTTTCAATAAATAACTAACAATTGGTTAACAGTAAGTACCAATTTGATATTTTTGAAAATTTAAATACTGCAATGACACTTTTGAAAGTTCGGATACTAACTTGACACTATCCCAAAGTTCAAGGTACTAAAGTAAAATTTTCATAAAAAAAAAACAATCGACTTAAATCAAGTAATGGGGATTACCAAATTTTGGAAACTACCTCCTCGGTAATATTTACAATTTTACTTCTTCATAAATATACTCCATTTTGTTAGAATTGAGGTATACGAGCTCAAGTTCATAATCACATAAAGAGGTCGGCTAAGCCGAAATGTTTAGGACCAGTTGGTCGTAACCGACTTGGGGAATTTGAAGGCAAGTGAGCTAATGTAATAAGAGAGTTGGAATGCTAGAAAGTAGGGATGGCAATTTTCCCTGTAAAGTGGGTCCAATCTTAAATGGGGATGGGACGGGAAAATGTTCTTAAAACCCTAAAAAATCATAATTCCATTTTTATAATACCTCAAATTGTTATAATCCGATTTTTAATACCCAAAATTTTTATAACCTTATTTCTAAAATATCTCTAAATTATATGAATTTTTAGATGATTCCATCGAGACAAAAAAAATTCAGTGACATGCTACTCCGAAGATTAAATTTAGGTATCACTTTTTATCATGAAGCTAACAAAACTACTGACTGGCTGGCTCATACTAAGTACATAGTCTCTAAATATTATTTGTTTTTATGATGTTTGTAGACAAAAAAAAAGGTTTTACTTGCATAACCATCCTTACAAATTAATTAAGCTTCTATGCAATGTAATGAATGCATGTATCAACCATCCGGTGAAAGCCCCCTTGACAGACAATTTTTTTGCTTCAACATGTAAATCCCACAACAAACACCCGTTGGTGGAGTATACAGTACAAAATTACAAACGGTTGTTTTCCACTTTATCATTGGAAGCAATTTGGAGAGCTGAAAATGAAGACGGAATCTTCCAGGTGGGGTAATACGTGAGTGACGCATTTGTTTTTTCTGACCCTCTATTAATTGGATTATTTTCAACTTTGCCATTGGCTGTCTGTCTTAAATAAGAGAAAAAAWAAATAAATAAGAAGAAGAAAAAAAAACTTATATTTGGTATAACCATCTTTCTTGCGGGGGATGTGTTTGTTTCTTCATGCAAGAGTAGAAAACAAGGTTTGATTTGATTTATTTAAAGGACCGAATAGTAACAAACAAACTAACAGCTGTGGTTTTAGAAACCGAGCCTCGTAAAGATAAAAGTAGAAAACGCTTTAAAAGCAAAGCATAGGCTGCGCCATTGAAATCGAGAGAGGCATTCCGTCCGCAGCAATCCAAGCAATATTTGTATGGATTGATTTTCATTCATGCCCCCTGCTCATCGGGTTGGTGTGGTTGTTAAGTGACACGTTGCACTTATGCCATGTGGCCATATTTTTAAATTAAATAAAAGAGTTAAAAACACTAACATGCATGTTGGCGGGGGATAACAAAATTGGGGCATCGCCGCATGCCCCTATCTCTCTCCCTCTACGACTCCGTGCAAATTTTAATATTATTTATTTATTTATTTAAATATACACTAACCAATAATTAATAATCATGAATCGTAATTATTTTTTCTTTTTAACTTAAAAATGCTAACTAGTTTTCGTTCTTAGGCTTAATAGAGATAGATCGTAGATGTTGTGAAGATTTAGTATCATTGTCAATCTAATACAATGGCCAGGTTTTGAAATTTAATAAACTATTTTTGTGTTCTATACATATTTTATATTATTGTTTAATGTCATGCTATTAAGTATTATATAAATAAAAAAAAAAAGGGTAAAATATAAAAACTTTTCCTATAATTTCACTTTAATAAAAACCTTCTTTCAACTTTTAAAAAATTTGACAAAAACCTCCTTTCTTCATTCACCCACACAGAAAACATTTAAAACCGATTCATAAATTTTTTCCGAATAGCCATTTTATCCTTTTGTAAAATGGGTATTGAAATCTAAAATAGCATTACTAAATAATGTTTGATCAAGGAATGCCCAAAAAGTTAACGACCGGCAACTGTTTTTACAGTTGATTGGCTTCATCCGTTTTTCATTGGGTATTTATTTGAAAACAATTATTGATCGGTTAAACATTTTACGTCTAAGTCGTTACACGGAAGGGAGGTTTCTTTCGAGGTTTTAAAACTTTAGGAGAGATTTTTGTTAAAATAAAAATATAGGGAAAGTTTTTTTTTTATTGTCAAAAACTAGAGAGGTTTTTGTATTTTACCCTACCCTAAAAAAAGTAAAATGTTATTTCCATTACACTAAATGTATAAGATTATATTTCCTTAAAAAATTGCTGTCATAAAACTTGAGCACTCCAGTGATGTCGCATCATGTGGCACTTCCGAATCATTACATAACACCTCAGGCCATATAGGCACTAACGTGTCTTTACCAAGTCAGCTGAAATCACTTAGGATTCACCTCGGAACCACCTCAAACCCTTCAAGAGACAATGACCGCCCAACATCACCTCCGCCCGCTAGGGCCCAGATGGGCATAGCCTTACCCGGCGTAAGCACCTTGACGGAGTAGACCAGAGACCTCAACAAGAGCAAACCAGAGACTTGGGTAGAAACAGACCAAGGACCTTGGTAGGAGGGTTGACCTCCCGTCCAGCACCCACCAACCTGACCAAGGTGGCGACCAACTTCTACTACATGCAACWTATCGTCTTTGATTCTTCCAGGATCATATTGCCGAACTGACTTCCGTTTCGGAGATAATTGAATAAGATTTGTCGCTATCCGTTAAAACCACTTCCAAGAGTGAGGGGCCAATAAATCACATTTTTTACCACCAAAAGGTGCGCATGATTGTGTATTAAAATTGTTGTTGCATTTGAAGTTCTCGCATCCCGAATACTGTAACACTATTTTTTACAACTTGGCCTGTCGACCTTATCAACCCGATATTCGAACTAAAAGCTAAACTCCCTTTTCCTTTTCCAAATTTTGATGTTAAGTGAATGGGTGTTGGGTCAAAGTAACAAATGCCAAATATAAAAAGGGGTGAAGATAACATTTAATAGTAAACAATGAAATGAATCAATTATAATTCGCTACTTGGAAGACGGCGTTATGTTCCCCACATTCAAGGCCACCTACCTAATCATTTATCATCCTTACTAATTAATAAACCCCAAAATAGGGACTAGTGTGAACCCCGGTAGTCGGTAGAGATTATTCATATAAAATTAATCTCACGTCCAAATATTTAAAAAGAAAAAAGAAAAAAATAACTGTTTAAATAAAATTTATTTCTTAAAATCAATGTAGAGTTATTTCTTTTGGAAGGTATTGCCACTTTGGTTCTCTTATTCTAAACAAAATCCAATCATCGCAGGTGGGACTGCCGACTGTGGGAGATATCAACTACCCATGTCGGCGTCTACAGACAGAAAATAGGAATCTTTCTCGCTCGCTCGCTCTCTCTTTCATTCATATGAGACCAAATCTGTAATATAGGATATGTAGTGTGTATAGGATTTGGAGCATGTGGCTTAAGTAAGAATAATAAGATTGAAATCATTGTCAGATTCAATGAATCGAAGATTGCGCTTTGGGGATAGGAATAAGATATTTCATGCATATGGATCATTGTCAGATCATACACCTGCTTCTTCTTTCCGTTTCCACTTTATTAACACCTGAATATGGAGAAGAATTTGTTCCCCTGTTCCGCGGTTGAGTCCCAACTTTGTGAGGGTCCAACCCAAAATCGAACTGGGGTGAAAGTTGAAACCCTACATGGTCATAGTCCCACTGTTGCCATATAGCCCAACTGGCCCAGCCGAGCCCCATTCCAATCCCAAAATCTCACCATCAAGAAAAGTATTTTTAGTATTTAGGGGGGCGGGTTGGTGAACATGTCTAACCTAAACACGCTCTCAAAACTCAAAAGCATAGGCTATTGGCTCGCAACAGCCAAAGTGGGATGGATTAGGAACAGAATTGAGGAAGAAAACGGGTAAGTAAGCTGAATTGATTTAGTCCTGGTTGATCATGCCAAGGTTTCCAACTCTATGATCTCTCTCTATATATATTCTCTCATTGAAGGCTTGGAGATGATATGTATGTCTGACGAAGAACTTGATCTTCTTCTGTATGAATCATGAATCATGAATCATGGGTGGGTGGTAGTGTACTGAAGAAGAGCTTTCATTCAAATTCAAGCAAATAAGAAACGAATTTATCTCAATTCGTTCAGTACTAATAATGAACATGTTTGGTGTTGATTGGGTTAGGTAGCCTGTTTCCCCAATTTTAACTCTTTTCATATGATAATCTCTAACAACATTCATTCTATCAGAGACCATTGTTTGGTTAATGGTAAATATACTATTTCAGGCTGATAAATCTAAGGAGAATGAGCAATCACTTTGTACAACGTTTGAAAACAACCAGGGAATAAATGTTCCATCCTAGCGGTTGAATTGTTGAACATCAACACCCGCCGTAAGCATTAATGGTGCCATGTCCGTCCGATCTAAGTTAGAGAACACCGATATCATATGGTTGTGTATTACAGATCAGATTCCAAACCGATCGTACATGAACCGATCAAGATTATATTGATTGCTAGCCATCTGATTTAAGGACCTGTGAAGTGAAGGTGTGAAACCCCTGATTTGCACAGACGCCATTCATCATTCGTGTGTGTGTGATTCATGTATTTGTCGATCCAGGCCACGTCACCAATGGATGAGTCAAATCCTTTACAGTTGAACCCATTAAACTCGTAATCATAGGTTTCAAACTATCGTTGATTCAGACGGTCGGACCATTTGGCATGGGAACCGTCTAGGTAGTTCTGGTTCTGTTTTATTTCAAACTCGGTTCTTGGCCAAAAACCATTTCAGTCAATGGCCCATTGACCTAGGTAGTTGAACCGTCAGTCCACTTGGCCCGTTCAACCGTTTTTTACCATTTTTAAATTTTAATTATTTTTTTTATTTTTAAAATTTATTTTATCAAAATGGGCTATCCATTCGGATCAGATGGTCAAACCGTTAACCCAAAAACTGGTGACCAGAATGGTTCCAATTCTGGGTTATTTTTTAAAACATTGCTCGTAATACATCAAATCATGGCGAACCATGTCAATCCTATATTCAGTGAGAATCACATCAAGTTAATGTGGCTTATCATTATTGGCTTCTCTTCTTTTATCCAGATCCGCTCTTCACAAAGCACGCCTTACACCAGCCTCATACATGTATTCATTATGGGAAAATATGGACAGGCCCATTACAGAATCCTGATTTTCACAGCAGATCTACAACATTTCAAAACATCAATTACCCCCAGCTATGTACTAATGCCCACTCATGAATTGGCATCAACCCCAAGCTGATATCATGCTTTCCGTGAATCCGTGGGTTCACAAAAAGCGTGAACCCGCCGATAAGGGACGACCACGTCGTCCAAGTATAGATAAACTAACCTCAATGGGGTTTTGGTCATTAGTTGGATATGCGGTTGAACCGGGGCACAAAATGATAAAAATTAACCCCCCCCCCCCTCACAATGGATAATGGCCATGTCACCGCCAATGGATGATGGCCGGTGTTGTATGTTCGCCGTGTGTGGGATAGGAAGGGTTCGGGGGGTTTAATTTAATTTTTGTCGTTTTGTTCCCTGGTTCAACCACATACCCAACTCTCATTAGCCCAACTATACCTGGACGACGTGGTCATTCCTTATTGGCGGGTTCACGTGTTCCGTGAACCCACAGGTTCACAGAACTAGTGAAAATTGAACTTTGGCAGTTGCAGACAGTGGGCAATGGCCAATGGGTGCTTGACTACTGCGTGCTCGGGGCTTCGCACATGAGGGGTTCTTTTCTTCTAGATCATTCTTGGGGACTCTCTCACTCTCTCCGTTTCTCGCGAAGATTCCCCCAACTATTAAAATGAGATCCTCTGACTGGAACCTCTCTAGTTCGGTTATCAGCATCGACTTTCTGTGGATATTATCATTGTCTGATCTCTCCACAATCTAATCTAACCATCTTTTACCCCGTATCTGAAAAAGGCAGGCAGCCAGGATGAGCACAGCGTCGACGCTCTATAACGACAACCTCGCATCGGCGGTGAATCAGTTGCTTAACTTCCCCGAGACCATCGTAGAAAAGTTCGTTTATCCTTCCTTCGCCCGCTCGTCCAAACCAACAGCAACCGAAGGAAGCGCACCTAGCATCCCCGTCCACGTCCTCGAAAGTCGAAACCCCCAAGGCGTATGTCTTCTACATGGACATTCCTGGCTTCTCCAAGCCCGATATCCAGGTCACAGTGGAGAACGACCGCGTGATGGTGATACGAAGCAACAGCAAGCAAGAGGAAGAGGGAAGAGGACGGAGATGAGGGAGGGTGCAAATACATACGACTAGAGAGGAGGACCTCCCAGAAGTTCATTAGGAAGTTTCGGCTACCCGATGATTCCAACGTGTCGACCATCTCGGCCAACTGTGAAAACGGGGTTCTCACCGTCACCGTCGAGAAGCTCCCACCTCCTCCAAAGTCCAAGACTGTCCAAGTCGCCATATACTAGATTAGAAGCTAAACAGATGATGTTTTTGCATAGGGGGTTCCCACTTGATACACCAACTGTACATGCACATTTGGTTATCATCCTCACCATTGTAAGTTGTAGCTAGTAGATGAATTAGCTTTGTCCCAAATCGCATTTGTATGAATCAATTAATAGTTGTTGGCTTGATGATACATTTTTTTTTTTCGCTTTTAGTGCCTTGTCGAGGCCACGTACCATGATGTTACTTGGCACAGAAATATTATAGGTATGAATGATAACCAAATTGAAATTGTGGACAAACCAAACCATGGAGTGGATTTGATTCATCCATGATGGCTGAGACCTTGGAACCAATCTGTAATGGTTCTGGCAAGCACCCTGGTGTCGTTCAGTGAAAGTGCCTTAAGCCCCTGAGCAATAGCATCCGCCGGGGTGTACAGGCTACCCACTTGCCATCTTGGATCCTGCACATACCAGAGAAATATAATGGTCAGAAGAAGTTAACCATTTTGGCGCAAACCATGGCTTTTTATTTAGACAGAACAATTTTTTTGGGACAAAGATGGCACTTGGAATAAATCAATGGAGATTAACCGGCCAAATCCTGTGAATGCTAAAATGACAATTTATATTTAAAGTTCTGTAGTCTTAACCATAAAAATCATAAAATTTGTATCAAAGGACCCAGCTTTATATGCCTTGAATTTTTTTTCTTAAAAAGCTGAGATCTCGTCTGGCCATACCAGATCCCCACTGGGATACCCTTTATACATTCCCTGTTATAAACAAACATTGGACTACAACCAAAAGTTCTCATACTGGAGAAAAACTACAGAGGATGTCCAAACTAATTGCTTTGGATTTGCTCTCTGCTTCTTCAAGCTATATATAAAATATCTTGGAAACACTTGAAAGGAACAGAGATACCACAAATTTTGTAGGGGGTGGGAGAACACAAAAAGAATTTTTTGAACTAAAATAGTAACACGAGTTGATGCATGAAAATCACTCGCTACAAAAATAAAAATTTCTTGTCATTTTCTCTACACTAGCGGATGCATAAATCCCATGGTTTATGATGTTTATTCCACTAAAAGAATGCATTCACACACACGTATATATAAGGTCCTCCATGTGAACTCTCCATAGTTGGTGCTTCATGAAATTCCTGTCCGTAAATGAAAGAATCTTGAGACAACCTACAAGTTCGCACCTGTATGCATGGTGTAAGATGGTTCCCACTCAGCACAACCTTTTCTAGTGTCCCTGCCATGGCATCTACACGAGGTTTTAAGACCTCTTCAACCAGATCAGTTTCATCAATCGCATCAGAGTTGAACTTAACCTGAGAAGTTAAAACATAATTCTAGAATGTGCAAAGGAAAAAAAAAATGACGAAGTTCGAGGAATCTCATAATTGATAGATAGGTGCAAGTACCAGTAATGTGTGTTGGACATTGTAAGAATTCTTGAAACAATCACGGTTCTCAGAAGGTGTGGGCTTGAATTCTGATACCCCCTGCGTAACCTGAAGAGGGTGTGCAAAATGGCGATATATGAGAATTATCAAAAAAAAAATGGTGATATATGAGAAACTGCGATAAATGGTAGAATCATCATGCGACGGACGCGTCATTAACCTGAAGAGGATGTGCAAAATGGTGATATATGAGAAACTGAGCTAAATGGTAGAATCATCATGTGACGGACATGTCATTCCCCACTGTTCATACTAGTGGATTTGCTCATTAGTTTACATTACCCATCTTTTTTTTTTCCTTTGAGGAATATTACCCATCCATTGACCCATCTTAAATACCTAAATGTTGCCCCAAAGAAAAAAGAGTTAACTAATCAGCTGGCATTCGTTAAAATTCATGGGGGGTTCTGATTGGTCAAAGTTCATCCAGTACCATACCTCTCAGATATCATTGATGTTGCCAAGAAAAAAAAAAGGGAAATTTAATGGTTCAAATTGTTGGAACCACTGTTGCATGGATATAGACATGGAAGTCAGAATCCTACATGTGTCCAAGAGTCTGACTAGAAAAGATGAGGAAACATGGACTTGAGTTGTGGATACATCCATGGAAAAGTATATACCATTAAAGTAGTTCACACTTTGAATTCTAACATTATATAGCTTCAAAAAAAAATGTTGCCTTTGTTACAAGTAACATTTGATATGAAAATGGCATTTATCTTGTACATTAGCTGTTCATTTATGGTAAATAAGCCAGGAGATAAAAAGGAATGCTATGTACAAGCATCCTCTTTGGACTCCAATGCATGTCCAACACAGAATACAAACCAAATAGGCACACTGGATTCAAGGTTGCAACAACTGATGGCGTGTTAGAGGGGCCAGGCTCCACTATTAGGATTATTTTCAAGTTTCAACTGGACCTCACTCTTAATTTGCAGCTTAAAGCCTTCACTTCAGCTAGCTCTTAGAAGGTATTCTTAGTATTTACCCTTCTTTAATTTCTCTAAATAGACTTGATAATGGTAAATGCAACAGAGTCAAACTTTGGTGAGGGAACAGGCCTAACTCTCTCTGACACAGACATAAAACACAATGGTCTTAATCAATTTATTTGGTCCTAGTGACACTTTATGGCACTTGAAATTTTACAAAAACTTTTGAGGCCAAAATTAGGTAAGTGGCCTCTATGTTGGAACACCTTAAGCTTATTTTCCTTTCTCTCTTTATCGATCACAGGATACAGACTCCAGAGTTTTTTTTTTTTTTTCTGATCAAAGCCCTTTCAATATCCAGCCTTCACTAACCTCTCTTTTTCTTTCCATGTCACAAAGCTTTGATTATGGAATTCCCCTTCAAGAGTGAGGTCTTTTGCCTGAGAGACCCCTCATGTCTGTATTTTGTTTATTCTGGATGGGAATCAGTCAACCACTTAATTCAGTCTACTTTTACCAGAGGTGCTTGGAACCACATCCTCAACATGCCAGGGTTGGAATGGACCTGAAAGCATCCGATTTGTCCTTAACCAAAGGATATCACGTGATTTAGGTGTTAAAGAGAATTTTAGAAAGGAATGACCTATGGTGTTGTGTGGGATCCTTGGGAAGAAGGGAACAAGAGGGTCTTTCAAAATAAATATCTCCTCAGCCACTACTCCATGCTAGACTCTACTCTTAGCAGCATCTTGGACTGAGGGCAAGGAATTTAGGGATATGTCCTGTGAGAAAATATGTCACAAACTTCATAAGGTTCTTCATTGCTATTAGGACTCTTCTAGGAGGAAACCATGGAACAAAAACAATCTGTCAGTGAGGCAATGAGACAAAAACTTGACAGTGCTTTTTCAAAATCCAAGACCTTCCAGGATTGGTGGCTTCGTATCTAGTAGGGAGGGGGAATATGATTAGGACCTACAGACGCCCCATAAACAAAGGCAACTGTACCTACTATCATGGTCTTGTTCAGCCTGAAGACTGCAGTCATATGGAACAAAAGTTTCTGTCAGTGCAGAAATGAGAAAGAAATTTAACAGTTCTTTTTGAAATGCAAGACTTTCCTGGATTGGTGGCTTCATATCTAGTAAGGAAGCAAAACAATTTATACCTACAGATAGGGGTGTTAATTGGATTGGATTTGGTCCAATCTAATTTAGTCCAATGTGAGTTCATTATAAATGGACCAGGTCCAATCCAATCCAATGAATATTTTGGACCAGTCCAATTCAATGTCTGGACCATTCAATCTGTTCAAATCCGTTTTGATTTAGATTGGTTTCAACCCAAACCCGGTCCATTGACACCTATATTCTTGTCTTATACCAATGGACCACATATTGGCTTAATCCAGCGGTCCAACCCAATCCAATATAAATTTATCATGGACAGACCAGGTCCAATCCAATCAAATAAATATTTTGGACCAGATTGGTCCAATCCAATATGCCTTGTTGGTCCGTCCAATCCGTCCAAATTGATTTTGGACTGGACGGGGCCCAATCCAAAACCGGTCCATTGACACCCTTACCTACAGAAGCCCATTGATGAAGTCAACTGTACCTGTTCTAAGGTCATAACTACTGTTCAGCTTTAAGATTGCAGTAACTAGACAGTCTGCATCAGTGTTGGTTGAAGCATATCGAATGCAGAATTGGGGTAAATTCTTCCGGAGGAATCCTTGGAGACTTACTCATTCGCCCATTGAAGTCAGATTAAAATTCATTGTCCACAAGTTTTGAGATGGATTTCCAGGGAACTAAATGTAATCTCTGGTGATCTTGCTGGATCAGGGGTAATTAGGAAGGAACATATAGTGAATCTTAATTGTAACATGCCTCTTTCTGGTACAGCTTGTGATGGATTCTTATTTTGTTGTCTGATGTTCATTTTGTATATTCTTTTTATTTTAATATTCTCAAAACTTTTCCTTTCAAAATCCGTAATAATTTGCCATTAAAAAAGAAACATATTATGGAGTTACCAAAATACCTGATTCATTACTGATGGTAACTGATCTACAAATTTGGTTAAAGACACCATGGCTTCCTGATCATACTCTTGTATCATTGCTCCAGCTGTATCAAGTAAAGCCTTCCATGCATCTCCTGGAAATTGAATATAAAACAGAATCAAATGGTTTATTACTTAATATGATATTTTTTTCATCTCATGCTATTTGTTCTTTTGCAAGTAACAAAATAAAGTGATGTACATATAGAAAGAAAAAGTTAGGTGATTTTCTTATATATGTGTGAACAGATGGAGAGGAGCCAATCACAGGAAAAGCAAGAATGAAAATATCAAAAATGAAGAGAACAAGAAATGGGACATTTTATGCAAGAAGGATGAGGTAGCAATGTAATGGTGTTAAAGGAGAAACAGCTCAGTTAAAATTTAAAAAGACAAAAGCAAGAAATTTCTGCAAAAGAAAAGGTAGAAAATAAGGTTTGCCTCAAGGAATTATATAGCCTCCAATGTTCCAAGAAAGAATGACAGTGTAAAGTTACATTTAAGATCCTCACATGAAAATAATGACAAGGTCGCAAGGCTATACAAAATTGAATGTGATATTTGATGTGCAGAATGCTGTATGTAAGTGAAACAAACCAAGATAGCCAAAGTTAGGATGCAGCAGATACCTGAAGCAATTCTAGCCATTGAATACATGGGAGATGCTTCCATTAAAGGCATCATCTGACTAACCAGAGGACCCAACTGCATAATAGATTTAGAATCACTTAGAACAAATAAATGTCATAAAGTTTAACCAACAGCACCACATAATATATGTTGCTCAATGCACATAAGGGTTAACACTACCTAGCAGAGAAAAGCCTGGCCCTACAATCATGTGTTGGGTTGGCCAGGCCAAACTTAGCCCAAGGTGCTGACTTTGAACCCAGATCAAGGCAAGCCCAAACTTGAAGAGGAGTGGGGAGGAATCAAAATTAACAAGGCCTATTGCACCTATGCCTGATATTATATATTTATTGTGTCACATAAATATATAATATCCATTAAAATGCAAAAAATAAATAAATAAACATATCAAATCCATTAAAGATTAGAGAATGGGTGATGCAGGATGGGATCATGGGAAGGAGAAAAGTCCTACACTCCTACTGTGATGCAACTAAAAATGCAAGGGTGTTCATACCCTTTTTTGTCTATAGACTTTTTTGGATCTTCTTACTACCCTTTGTTATTGAGAGTTAAGATATTAACTGTCAAAGTTTCAAAATATGTCATTGTTCAAGAGAAGGGAATCTTTGTTTTCCCTTGAATGTCCTCAAATCCATGTTTTTTAACAGACTTTTCAATACACAACAAATTCTGGCTCATAGTGATACTACTTCTAAACTATTTTGTCAAACCTTAGCTCTATCAGAAACCAAGCTTGCATGGATGCAGGCACCAGAATTCATAATCTGATGCATGTCCAGGAGTTTGACTCGGCAATATGAATTACAAAAGAACATGGGAACAGATCTAAATCAAAATGAACGAATGATGATTAATTCCGCTTCTGTCATGTACAGTGTACTTAGGCAAGAATTTGGAAGTCTTATTTATAATTTTAATAGATTTTGAAGTTCCCAGTTAGATATGCATGTAGATCAAATAATAATCCCAGCCATTCAGGGTCTTGTGAACAGTGGACACTGGAAATGGTCCTAACCTCCAGCATTTAACATGAAGTTGTTGCTCTCAGACACAAACCTTTTTTCTCATGCTTGTATTGTACAAGTATTTTGTGACATGATCATCGATCCCTTCAATCTATGTACTCTCTTTATCACTTCTATAAGTCCAACATGTAGGTATGAGCATATTTGAAATTTTAAACTTGTTATTAATAGAAATGGACAATAAAGGTCAACGCAAAGAGACAAAAGTACGTATTTGATAATTACCTGCTCAAAGTATGGGACCGCCTCTGTCGCTGGCCTGTTGTTGTATGAGATTGCAGCATTAGCCTTTGACAAAAGATACGCCAAATTTCTTCATTACACTCCAATAGCTGGTAGAAACTCTCAATTGATATGCCTACTCATAAAACATTATTTGAGAACTAGAAACAGTAAGGAAGGCCAAACCTTTGGTATCTTCTCAGAGAAATAGCTTCCTGTGAGTAACTGGAGTAATGCGCCATTGCTGTGGTTCACCATTTATTACAAAGTTGTATCAGAACAATAAATGAATTTCATATGCTCAAGCAAAATCTGACAGATCCTGAAATTTGATGGATAACGGATACGGAATCTAGCAGCTGACCAGCATTTAAAAGCATGTAGTATTTTGCTTAAAAAAAAACATGTAGCATTATTTTTAGTGTTCCATAACAATTATACTTGACTGGAGTAGTAGTTTTTCTAAACCAACTGATGATGGCTCAGTTGGTAGGATCTCTGACTCATTATAGCAGAGACCTGGGATCAAATCCCGCTGCCACCAGGGTTGGGGGGTCAAGGGGATGGGGGATCATGAAGCCTAAAAAAGAAAGAATGTGAATTTTTCTTGATCAAACACAAGAATTTCGTATAAATTCTTCTACTGTAGCTTTCCATGAAAAAAAAAATCTCTATTTATGATTACAAATCTTGCAAAAGAATTAGTTCAGAAAGTTGATGGCTTGATTGAATGTGATTTACTACTCTGCAACTCTGTAAGCAAATTCTCACAATCCACTTGTGACTGACTGGTATTAATCCAGAAATGCATAAGAAAGGAAAGAGACTGGTCATATTGGAATACCATCAAGTTCTATTGAAAGTCTATCATTGCTTACATTTGTTAGTTCCATACCCTTCCTCTCATCTCTAGTATGTGCACAAGTGCATTTGAATACGAATCCATTGTTATAAGCTGAACAAGTACTAGAAACCAAGACCCACCGCCCTTAAGCTCTTTCATGATCTTTCCATCCTACAGTAACTATTTCTTAACATATTCCATTAAGGGCCTACATAGTGGAAAGACAAAATATGCAAACATTAGAAAACCAGAAGGAGATGAAACAGCATTTGCTTCATTTCTTCTTCCATGAAGGCATGAGTTCCACCACAAAACATTTTCCCCTACATGGTAATGTTTAAGGGCCCATAACAATAGAGAACACATGTACCAAATATATGTCATTTTCTGTATTTGCATGGAATGGTTCCTAATCAAACATTTTTCATTAAAAAGTGATTCTACATAAAAACCTCGGCATTAGAAACATGCAACCTTTCAAATATCAGAAGAGTAAAATTGCAAAATCTTACCTATGACCAACAGAATAAATTGGAAGGTGTACAAGTTCGCCAGCTGATAGATTAGCATCAGGTAACCCAGATGTTAAAATCATATCTAAGCATGAATTGAATTTCTCATACACTTCTTGTGCAGCTTGGGAATGGTCAAATGTCACATTATATGGAACAGAAATTATAAGAAATCCTTCCTTTGCCAAAAGCTCAATTAGATAGCTGCAAATAACAAGAATTTGAGAGGCATCCATTTAAGTAAGTCATAATAAAAGTAAATAATTACTTGTACTAATAAAAAATAATGTATACGTGTCAAGAAGAAATTAATTTAAAAATTAGATTGGTCAAACAATAGTTCCTGCTCCTGAGTTGGAAAACCCAAATTCTTAGAAAACTAGTGAGAAATTGGAGTCCTTAGGAAGACACCGTTTAATGGGTACAGTTTGTACAAATAAGCAATAAGCATGCAACTGTAACTCTGTATCAATTTGTAAAAACATTATTGTACTCCATAATCGAACAAAACAATAACCATTTTTCACCGGTAGCAATGATGTAGTAAATGGCCATGAATCTTTTTGATCCACCTAATTGCATCTCTAAAGATTGAAAAAATCGGCTAACCTTGTTCTCTGGTGATTGCAAACCATCAGTCAGATCTTTACCTATATGTAACTTCTGGAACTGCTCCGATAAAGGCACCTCCCAAGAATTTGATAATGGCACGAGGTTTTTGGCCTCTGGATGGAGGAATGACCAAACAAGAATCCAATCTTCTATAAATTTTATTTCTATAGGTTTCCCTGCCCACATATCCATTGGAAACCATCTTCTTAGCTGGGCTCACTGCAACAGCTCTATTTTCCCCAAAAGGGCCAAAACGTGGAGACACAGCACAGGAGCTTCGCCACAACTCCATCTGCCAGAGCCTATTAATCTTTCTGGGAGCAACTTTGAGAAAGAAATGCTTGCTTGTAGAACACTTAGATCTACAGACTCCAAAACTCTTCAGAAAATGTCCTCTGCATTCGACGGTTGGCAGAGAAGATGGAAGTAATGCCATACTAATCTCTATAATGACCGATTCACCAACTTCTGCAACCATGGCACAGAAGACACCTTCATCAATGGTTAAAACAAAAAAAAAAAAAAAATGCATACGTTCTGTATTGGTCCTCTACGCATTTTCCTTTTCTTTCTTAGACAAATATGTACAAGTGTTTAACACTGGTAAGTGCTAACCTACCGAGATATAGCAAATTCAGGTTCTCTTGTTGTATATCACTGGAACTGACTAGTCACTTAGTCAGTGAGAAACCATGTGGATTCGACATTCGTATGCTTATAGAATAGAACTTCAGAAATTATCAAAAAAAATGGAATTTCTGACCCCCAACAGGGAGTGACCAATAAAAGATAATAATAAAGTAGGAAGTGTGCTCTTTCAAATTCCACGCACACGAGAGGAACCCGAATAAACATGAAAGGTATCCAGATAAGCGAGGTAAAAACCATTAAAGTCAGAGTAGGACAAATTAGGCCCAAATTCGAAGGCGAAATCTTAGAAATTGAAACTGATACCTAACAGAGATAAGAAAGCTATGGATTGCAGACTACAGAAAAAAAAATCCCGGAAAGACTTCCTATCGACTGATGATCCTGGATCAAAAGTAACGAACGACAGCATAGGTGAAAAACAAAGAAAACTAAAAGATACGGATGCGTTTACATTTGGATTTGAGATGAAACAGCAAGAAGGGGAAACTTACCCAGGATTCAGGACTTGCAGACACTAATTCGGTAATGAAGATTTGATTTATAAGGTAGAGATGGGAGACTATGAGAAGATGGTTTTGCCACGACTCAGGTCTTCCAGAGTAGTGTGCTTCCGAAAGACCATTAGAAACCGAGTGCAACCTGATAGAGGCCAGCCCACTCCGGATCTCCTACCCACAAGCTCTTCCCATATCCCTACCCAAAATCTTACTGCAATGTATTGGTTGGAATATCTCCCCATGATGACAAAGGAGATATTCCCAATGTGCGGGTGTAGTATCATGTAGGTTGGGATGTAGGAGTAGTTTGTGGGTAGGAGATATCCGTGTCCCATTCTTTATTGGAAATGATGACGTGGTGATCCAAGAGCTGTGATCCAATTTGCGCGCGCTCACTCTTATTGGGTACCATACCAACACTTGCGTATATAACGAGATTGCATCTGCTGTGGCATATTACGTCGATTTATATTTTTTTAGTGGATTCGCATTTCATAGTACTCGCATGCGCCCACGGTCGCGGCAGATTTGTGTGACGCATACATCACTCCATTGTTCTTTTCCTTAGTCAAATGCAGGAGTGGGGCAATGAAAATTGGCTATGGCCTATGGTGGTGGAGCTCGCATCGTCTGTCCTCAAGGGACAGAATTTTTTTTCCCAACCAACGAGAATCGAACACGTTGCTCTCCTCCCTTTACATACCAAATTAACGGAGTCCAGGATTCGAAAAAAACATGAAATTCTCTCTCTCTATGATATTTTTCTCACATAACGTTAAAGGCAGCTAAGTTCATCGTCTTAACAAGCCTAATATTCCTCTTCATGTTCTCTCTCTTGTCCTCAAGCTCAAATTCAAAAAACGCAGTTCCAACACCAACCCTATGGCCTCTACAATTTTACTCATTCTCTTCGTCGATTACAACGGCTCTTAGAGATTATCGATCTCTGGTATGACTGGCCTAATGGCCGCAACTCCAACATCATCCAACACCAACTGGGTTGACTTCTTTACCACCTCGAATGAAACAACGACACTTCCTTCTACTACACCTCGAACTCTTCCAAGGTGTGCAAGACTCAGCATTTCGAAGTGGGAATCCCTAAACCCAACTAGCTAGACGGTGCAAATCACCTCGGCAACTGATGATGGGTTTTTTTGCAGCATTCCATTTACTGGTAGTTCGGATGTCAATTGATGATGCATAATCTGGCAACTTTCAACTAGTTGATGACTGTAAAGTCGAGTTGGAGTATTCCTGTTAGAACTTGGAAGGTAGTTTGGATGTCGAGTGGACTAGGCAGAACCAGGAGGTTGTTCGGGTGCCGAGTTGTGTAGCTCTTTAGAGAGACCTGCAAGGAATCAGTGTCAAAGGACCTGGTGTGGCTTATCCAACGTGGTCGTTCCGATGCTTAAGTCAGTACTCTTTGTGTACGAGCTGAATGTTTGTATGCTAATAAGCTAGTGAAACAATACTCTCGCATACCTTCTCCCCCCTGTGAGGTTGGAGGTGAGGCCTATATATAGGCGTTGCTTGGCATGGGCTTTACGCATCGCGTCCGAGATCTCCGAGAGGTCATGCCTAACCGGTCCGAAGTCCTCGGAGGTAGCCATAAACGTGGATTGGTCTTTGCGCCTTGTTCGGTTTCCTCCAGAACATTCGGTGCAGGGACCAACTTCCGAGAAACCCGAGAGTGGTTGGATGTGCATGCAGAATGGGCCGGCGAGCACGTCTCACAAGTCGCCACCTGGAGCTCAATCAGAAGGTCGGCAACCCCTCAAAGGAGGTCACTCCTCACGTCGAGGTCACTTCGGCTGGTGACGAGGTGCCACAGGTCGGCCCTGGACGGGGTGCTACGAGTCACCCTGAATTGTAGACAACGTTGCCAACTAGGTTTTTGTCAGGTTACCAGGTCGGGCTCTATCATTTTGGATAAGACAAGTCATCACCTATGTGATGTCAGGGTGCCATCCAACTGTTCTGAGATACCATGTGTCATGATGTCACTGGAGGGCCAAATCCGTCCTCATCAATTGCCCCCACTCCCAAGCTGAGATCAGCTCAGCGAAGGGAGTAACTTGTTTTATTTGGCCCAAGTGACTAATTTGATGAGCTCATAGCCGTTGGCATCAGTCTAGTTTTGCTCCTCATGTTGGAAGAATCTAAGTGTTGAATGCAGCCTTACGTAGAATCCCACCGTCTTGATTATCGGGGCGCAAGGGCAAATTCATCCACTCAAGGAGAGGCAAAGCAAGCACTCTAAGGACATCTACCTTACCAAAGATGCAGCCATCAAAAAGTTTTGTAATTTAACCCAATACCTCAATAGTGAAATTCGCCATGCCGTCTTCAAGAGGGGCTTCTAATTGCGTGACTGCCTCGTCAGATCGCTCCACCTGGGTAAACTATAACACAATGTCCCTCGAGCCGATTCTCAAAAGAGTAGCCAGCGAGGTCGATGTGGAGCCTAAAACCAAAGTGGAGGTCTGCTGTGAAGAGATTGGCCAAGTTTGCATCTACCATGGTGCTGAAAGTGAACTAGTCTTTCCTTCGTTTCTTTTTCTCTCCCTTTATTTTTTTAGGTCGGCGATGAGATGTTGATGTCCTTTGAGGTCGATTTAAGCACAGTTGTGGCAATGCTGTCGAGCTAGATAAACGGGGGCCGACCTTCTGAGGTCGGTCTTCCTGCTGCCATCGTGTTTTTGAAGTTGACTTGAGGGCACATTAGCTAAAAAGCGGTAAGGCTTTCCCTTAGAACTCAATTTGACCAGGTTGACAAAGCAGAATGGCCATTTAGTTGTAGTCTTGAATGCGACTGCTTCTATGTCATCACTTTGAGATTGGCTTCCCCGGGTAAGTGCTTGCAAGATCATGTGTACCACTTGCTCCTAGAACTACTGGTTGCCTACTCCTACTGGAGTCATGGGAGGCTCACCTTGAGGGGTTGGGTCTATTGTCTGCGGGTCGCCTACTCTCACAGGAACCATGAAGGGCTCAACCTATGAGGCCAGTTTCACATTCAATTCGCTTCCAGCTCTCAAGGGAGCCATGAAGAGCTCGATCAGTAATGAGGCTTCGCAGTCCGGGCTGGAGACGGTCTAGGCTAGATTGTTGAGGCTCGCTTGGGCTGGTTGTTCATTTATGCTTTGCTTGTGAATTTGTTGATATGCACGTTACTCTCTATGTTGGGCGGTAGGTTGATGCCACGGCTACACTACATCACCCCTCGAAGACGCTGGTCGTCTACTCCTATGAGAAGCCATAGGGAGCTCGACCTACGGGGGCAGCTCTAATAACTGTAGCTCACCAACTCACACGGGAGCCTTGAAAGGCTCGACCTACAAGGGCATTCGCATAGTTCGTAGGTTGCTGACTCCCGCGGGAGCCACGAAGGGCTCAACCTATAGGAGAGACCTCGTGAAGAGAGCTTACGAGGCTCGTTCGGGCTGAATTGAGGTCAGTAGAGCTACTCGGTCTGTTGGAAATCAACTCTTGTGGGAGCCACGAAGGGCTTGACCTACGGGGGCGACCTTACTCCGAGGTGCCGGTTGCCAGACTGCTAGTGGTTGAGGTCGTTCTGCTGCTAATTATTTTGTGAATGCGCCGAACTTCTCCTCCCATGTCCACATCTGAAGATCCATGCTTCAGCTCATAAAATTGTCACGCTTCAATCCCGGTGGGAACCATTGATGGCTCTACCGCGGGGAGAGGGGCGTTCACATGAGGTAGTGGTGTGTTTGTCTGGGGTAATGGGAGTGTTGGGTTTGATGTGGTTACTACTACAGGAAGTGCTAGGGGCACTAATCTTGCTTGATTGTCACAGAGGGATTTTCAAGGTTATCACGGATGTTCTTACCCCCTAATAATTGATACTTTGTTCTTGATGTTGGTGCTGCTCAAAAATGTCATTGAACTGACAAAAATGGAAATTAGAAGGTGAAAACTTAGCAATCTAGAAGGTGAGATCTTAGCTTTCTAGAAGGTTAGAACTTAGCTTTTTGTTGCATTTCCCATAGACGACGCCAATTGATTATGGGTTTTTTTGCAGCACCCCATTTACTGGTAACTTGGATGTCGATTGATGATGTGCGATCTGGCAGCTTCCAGGTGGCTGATGACTCTGAAGTCAAGTTGGAGAATTCCTGCTAGAACTTGGAAGGTAGCTTGGATGTCGAGCGGACTAGGCAGAACTAGGAGGTTGTTCGGGTGCCGAGCTAGGTAGATAGGCGAGCTGTGTAGCTCTTTAGAGAGACCTACAAGGAATCAGTGCCAGAGGAGAGGACCTGGGGTGGCTTATCTGGCATGGTCGCTCTGACGCTTAAGTCAGTACACTTTGTGTACGAGCTGAGTGTTTGTATGCTAGTAAGCTAGTGAGCCAATAATCGTGCATACCTTCTCCCCCTGTGAGGTTGAAGGTGAGACCTATATATAGGCATTGCTTAGCGTGGGCTTTACGCATTGCATCCGAGATCTCTGGGAGGTCATGCCTAACCGGTCTAAAGTCCTCGGAGGTAGCCATGCACGTGGACCAGTCTTCGTGCCTTGTTCGGTTTCCTCTAGAACATTCGGTGCGGAGGCCAACTTCCAAGAAACTTGAGAGTGATGGGATGTGCATGCAGAATGGGTTGGTGAACACGTCTCACAGGTCGCCACCTGGACCTCAATCAAAAGGTCGGCAAGCCCTCAAAGGAGGTCGCTCCTCACGTCGAGGCCACTTCGGCTGGTGACGAGGTGCCACAGGTCGGCCTTGGACGGGGTGCTACAAGCCACCCTAAATTGTGGACGAGGTTTCCAGCTAGGTTTTCGCTAGGTTGGTGTCGGAGGCAGGTCGCAAAGTCGGACTCTATTGTTTTAGCTAAAACAAATCATCGCCTATGTGATGCCAAAGTGTCATCCAATTGTTTTTAGATGCCATGTGCCATGATGTCACTGGAGGGTCAAATCCACCCTCATCAACTACCAATGTGTCGATGGGTTCCTCTACGATGCTTGGGAGAAGGTTGATTTCATTTGGTGGTATGAGGATGTTGTCACCAAGAGGGTTGTTCATTGACTCTTCTACACAGGGTGGTTCTTTGCAAGAAGATTCGTTCATGTTGTAACTTTCGAGGAGGGATTAGTACTCGAGGATGAAAAATGGCAAGCCCCTATATACTATTTTTAGGAGGAAGAAAGCCAACTATAA